CTCGGGCGGCCCCGCCCCGCGGAGGCGCGGGCTGCAGCGCCGCGTGGCCACCTCTTGGGGGGCGGCGGCGCGGCCGCCGCGGGAGGGCGCGCGCCTCGGCCTCGGCCGCGGTCGTCGCGGCCCCCGCCGGGGTGCCGAGGTGCCCTGGGACAGGCCAACGGGGCGAGGAGAGGAGGAGGAGGAGGAGGAGGAGGAGGAGGAGGAGGAGGAGGAGGAGGAGGAGGAGGAGGAGGAGGAGGAGCAGGAGTGTTTCCAGCAGTTTCATTTCTCACGTGGTGAGGTTGGGGCGGGTCTGGGCCCGTCGCCCCCTCAGAGACCAGGTAGTTCTCGACCTGGTCCTCGGAGGCGTCCTTGTACTTTTCACTTTCGGCGTCTTGTTTTTCTGTTACTTTGCACTCTCCGTTGTGCATTGGAGGAGGAGGAGGAGGAGGAGGATAGGCCCGGGAAGGCGACACCAACACCAACGGGGCGAGGAGATGCGCGGAGGCAAGGGGGATCTGCCTCGGTGGTGTGGTCCCCTCCCCTCGCCCGGGGCATCCCACCCAGTCCCTCGCTCGGGGAGGCATCGTGGACCGCCTTGCTGGAGGTGGGCCCCCTGGTGGTGTTGGTATCGCTTCTCCTCCCTCCGACTGGCAGAGGGTTCCGCGCTAACTCTTGCCGTGTGTGGTCATACTTGCAGTCGGCCCGTGGGACAAAGAACGCAAGGCAAGGGTCTTTAAAAAAGAAAAACGAAAAAAATACGGGGTCCCCTAACGTCATGGGAGCATGCCACGCCATCTTGCTGGCTCTTGGCGATCGACGCGCTGACCAACGATAGTCGACGCGACTCGACGCCAAATCAGCACTCATCGACGCTTGATATGTGCTTCATTATCGATCACCAGACGCTAGCGCACTCTAACGCACACGAAAGACGGGGTTAGGAGGACACGCAACGACCGCAGTCTTGCCCGCGCGTGTCGACTTGAGTTGTTGGGGGCGGGGGAATGGCCACGAATTGTTTCCTTCTGCCGGTCGGAGCCCCAGCTTCGAAACGTGTGGGATACTGCAGCATCTATACGCCAAATACCAACATGGAACTGAAATGAGGAAGGCTAACTAAGGAACGAAAGCGTTTTGTTGGCCACGGCGAGCCTCAGCCACGAATTAAGTTCCCCGGCCTACATCCAGAGAGGCCCGAAAGCAAACAACCGCCGAGTTCAGTGGCGTGTTGCTGTTCACCATGCGTTGTTTCGCGGCATCGGTTGCTGGGATGGCGGGGGGGGGCGAGGGACGCGAGGTGAGGAAGACAAGTGACAAGGATACGGTGTGAGCAGGGCAAGTGACTGGTTGGAAATCGGTCCCCCGCCACCTTTCTGTTATGTTACCCTGTCAAATGAAGGGCATGCGGACAACATCAAATCATACAAGACAACCATTTGCTCCATACCTGCTCGAGGCTGGTGGCGGCAACGTTAAATGAGGAGGCGATGGGGATGGTGCCATCCACCTCTTGCACGACTGTGGCGATGAGGATAGGCACGGATTAGACTGAGCTCTGGTCTGGGTCCATGTATGCGGAACGCAGCACTGCAGAAGAGGCAGCGCATCGCAAGCACAGCGAGCCAACTGTGTGCCAGAATCTCAAGGGTCTGCCCTGGTGCTTGTGCACTCTCCGCGGGCGGGCCGCGGCCCCGAGAGGGTTTGACACGGCCCAAGACTGGCCATCGCTCGGACGTCCATTCCCTGTTTTTTTCCCTACCTAGGCTCTGCCTAGAGGGTTCTTACTCTCTTAGCTTAAAGGGGCCGGGCAGTGGAAAGCGCCCCGGGCGGTTCCCCCAGTCCCCGCCCCGTGGTTCCCCCAGTCGCGCCCCCTGGCTTAGCTTAGCTTAGTTTAGCTTAGCTTCGCTCAACTTCTCTCATCTTAGCTTAACTTAGCTTAGCTTAACTTGGCTTAGCTTAGCTCAGCTTGGCTAAGTTTAGCCTAGCTTAGCTTAGCTTAGCTTAGCATAGCTTAGCGTACCTTAGCTTAGCCTAGCGCAGCATAGCGCAGCGCAGCATTAGCACAGCATAGCATAGCATAGCATAGCCAAGCATAGCAAATAATAGCACATCACACCATAGCATAATATAGCATAGCTCAGCATAGCATAGCAGGTCATAGCGCAGCATAACATACCATAGCATAGCATTGCATAGCACAGCACAGCGCAGCATAGCACATCACAGCACAGCACAGCATAGCGCAGCATATCATAGCATATCATAGCATAGCATATCATAGCATCGCGCAGCATAGCATAGCATAGCCTAGCCTAGCGCAGCATAGCATAGTATACCATAGCATAACATAGCGCATCATAGCATATCATAGCATAGCATAGCATAGCGCAGCACAGCATAGCATAGCCTAGCATAACACAGCACAGCCGAGCCGAGCGCACCCTAGCATAGCATAGCGCAGCATAGCGCAGCATAGCAAAGCATAGCGCAGCATAGCAAAGCATATCATAGATGTAGATGTAGCTGTGAATCTCGCTGTTCATGTTGATGTAGATGTAGATGCAGGTGTATATGTACATGTAGCTGTCGGTGTAGATGTAGATGTTGCTTTCCTAAATGCTCCAACTCCTAGGTAGGGTCGAACTGGGATAAGTTTCGGTTTCGTGCATGTTTTTTTCGCCAAACGATCAAGGATGCTCCTCGATGGTCCCCGCCGAGGGAAAAACGCACACGTCCGAGCGATGCCAAGAAGAGCTTGCCCAAGACGCCCCAGATGGCCATTCGACGTGCCCTGCCAGAGGCATTCACACCGCCTCCAGATGGCCCCAATAAGACCCCAAGACAACCCCGAGAGGCAGACCTCACTGATATTCAATTGGTTTTCAAAAGACTTCAACTTTCTCATTGTTTCGGACTTCGAACGCTCCGAGACGACCTATGAGGCCCGCAAGATTGCTCCAAGACAGCCCAAGATTCCCCCCCAGAGGGCCAGATGACGGCCAAATAGCCTCCCAAGACGACCCAAGAGGGCTCCAAGAGGGGCCCAAGGAGGGGACAACGAACATACATCTCCAGCTCTCCGCCATGAGACGACCCACGGGACCGCCAGCTAGTCACAAATAGACGTCGAGGAGGCTCCAAGACTCCTCTAAGAGGCCCCCAGGGGCCGCAAGAAGCCCTAGAGGCTCCTCAAAAGGCCCCCAAGAAGCTTACTCGGAGGTTCCCAAGGCCAAGGCCGGCCCCTAAGGTCCTTCCAAGGGGCGTCCAAAAGGCATCCCAAGACACCCTCACCTGCATCCAAGAGGCCTCTGCTCCACAACCAAGCTACGGTTGAAGGACGGACCGAAGGCCTGAGCGGCGTCCTCCATCTACCAAGCGACTGTTCCCTGCAACACGAGCTTCGCACGACAACTCCGCGAGGACACGGGCAAATGATAACGATGATGCCATCTTTGCCAGCAGGATGAACGAAATGCGTGAGTCATGGGAGAGAGAAGAGACAGAACGCTGCGCGACAAGAATGACGCCTGAAGCGCGTCCGCAACGGACTCTTCCAGCGACGGCGCAGTCGCGACAGGGCCCCGGCTCGAACATGCAGGTTACAGGCATGTCGTCAGCCCGCATTCTACGCTCGTGGCCATCACCCCGCTGCCTCGCCCCGCTGCCTCCTCCAAGACTCAAACAACCCCGTTCAGCGTTGCACCCACAGGACAGTGGTCACCACAGGGGGCATAACCGGTCAGATGGAAGACATCTGCCAGAGCCCCCTTCTTCTCTGCAATACTCTTCGATAGGATCGCATAATCAAGGCGCAATCCTCGGTTCGGCTTCCGATTCCCCGCGCGCACCGACCAATAACTGAAACCGCCCTTCACATCTGGATGCATATGCGCGAATCCATCTACAAAGCCCGCGTCGAGCAACTTCCCGAAACTTGATCGTTCCTCGGGTGTTGTCGTGGCCGACTTCGGGACATGCGGTGCCTCCGAGTTCCAGATGTCTACATCCCGATGCGCAACATTCAAATCTCCCAGAAGCATCACGTCCTTCTTCTTTGCCAGCCTCCGCAAGCACGTTCGCAGCTTTGGGTCCCAGTGCTCGACGCGCTCCTTCAGGCGGACTAGCCCGTCCCCGCTGTTCGGGACATAGCTGAAGACCACGTGGATCTTCCGAAGCTCGACGCATATCGTGCGGCCCTCGTCGGCCCCCGTCTCGATCTTCAACGCCTTCGCCCTTGCACCCCTTGTCTTTGCGCCTCTCCGCAACAAAACTGCCACTCCACTATATCCACCGGGTCTTCCTCTCCAGACGCTCTCCAGACGTTAGGGGGGAACCGACTCAAGGGGAGAAACATCGGGAATCGGCGATAGGCTCTCGATCATGAATCCCTACCTTCCCACGCGGGATGGGCCAGCCGGCCCCCATCGGCGATCAATGGACGATTGGTGGTCGACGCGCGTCCCTTTTGCATATCCCATCCAAGGTTGCCCCTGATGCTCCCCCCTTTTACAGTCGGACACACCCAATCGGCCACTTAGCAAAAGGCGGTTTAGTTCTGGGGCTGGGGGCGGCAATCCAAATCCCAAGAATATGTGTGGTGACCGCAAATTCAGAACGGATCAAACTTAGGCCAAATGCACCGCTACCGTGAGGCCCGATGAATTTGAGAGATACCCGTGATAATGACTGCCCGGGCACTGCGGGTCGCAATTCCCAACGGCCCGCCCGGAACCACCAGGTCAGACCCCTGCGGGTAACGGTCTGGACCGCTGAAGTAAAATTGGGAATGGACACGTCCTCCCCCCTCACGTTCCTGAGGGTTCTGATGGACATGATACCTTGCAGGGCATTATGCAGACGAGCTGCTGTGAAGGGATGAGAACCCAAGACGGCCTAGGATGGCCCCAATAAAATGCCAAGAGGGCCACAAAATGGCTCCAAAACGGCCTGATAAGTTGGGCCAAGATGGCCTCAGGAGGGCCCCAAGAGGGCGACCGACGGTTGCTACAACGGGCCCCACTGTTGTAGCAACCGTCGGGGGTCCTCTTTGGGGCATTTTTGGGACCCTTCTGGCTTCCATTGGGGCAATCTTGGAACCATCCTGAGCCCTCTTGGGGCCTTCTTAGGGCCTTCCCAGGCCGTCTTGGACATTACCAGGAAGGCCCACGACGGATGCTACAACGGACCCCCCTGTTGTAGCATCCCACCGGGGCCCTTTTGGGGCCCTCCGAGGACCGTTTTGCCCCCCCCCCTTGGGCCGTCTTGTAGCCATCCTGGGGCCCTTCTGGGCCTCCTTGGGGCCCTCCCACGTGGAGGGCGCCTTCGGAGCACCCCGACGGATGCTACGACGGACCCCCTCTGTTGTAGCATAGTCCAGGACGGGAAATCGACGGGACGCGGTCCATGGACTGGGCCTCGGCGGCGGGAAGGACGGGCAGCCGATGCCTCGCGAACACGGGCCACATAAAGACCCGCACTCAGCGGCGGGGGCGCGGTGCCACGGCGGGTGCGGGCGTCGCCGCTTTCTCTGTGCACCCCGCCCCGCTGGCTAAGTGCACATTTGTACGTGCTCCGTTTTGCGCGGATGTCCCAAGCGAAACCAGCAAGTATAGATGTATACTTAACGGCCGGCTAAGTGTGCATCTGTACGCGGTGGATGTTTCGGACGGGGCGAGCACGGACAGACCAGCACTTAGCGACAGGGGCGGGGTACAAATCGGATGCGTAACCGCGCCCCTCGGCTGAGTCAGGGGGACGGGAACCGCTGAAATTTCTCACTGACAGCGCCAGGGGCAATCAGTAAACTACGTACAAGACGAGAGACGTAGACTTCGCCCCGCAATCGACGTGAGCTCCACTAGGCCTAGAGCGCCCCGCTACATCCCACGATGCGCCCCTCGGGCGCCGAACAAAAAATATACCGAAGAAGACCCACACCAGGTGTTCGAGCGAAAAATGTAAAGACATCGCAATGACGCGGGGGTGTCACAGGTGTCCAACTCGACCCAAATCCATGGCAGGCAAATGTTTGGTTCGCATTGGATACCGTCGAACCGACGACGACGAAGACGATTACGACGATGATGGGCAACGTTAGGGGGGACTGGCACAGGGGGGGATGCATCGGCCTGGAATCGGCGATACATCGCCGATAGATCGGCGATAGGCCTCCGATCGTGGATCCGCACCTTCATGGGCAAGTTGGGGCTATCGGGCCCCTATCGGCGATCAATGGGCGATTTGGGGTCGTCTCAAGGGCTATCGTTGCCCCTGAGACGACAACCGCAACGATGACGACGTGGAGGGTCCAGTCCGATTGGAATTTGCATCAGAACTCGTGGCTGTGGTTGAGAAAAGGGTCGTCTGCGTATGTGGGACATTGCCGTGCCAGGCCGCCTATTGCGGACTATGGCTTGCATTGCGGGTACAGCTCGGCTGCAACAGCATATATGCTTGCACACCACTCTGTAAGTTTGGTGGCGCGCCGTATTTCAATTGTACTCCAGATTTCGTAATGATAAAGGGAGGGGGGTCTCATTTTGGGGGGGGGTCTCTTCCAGGCTATCTTGGAGGGCTTGGGGGGTCTGGGGACGATGTTTTGGAGGGTTCTCCCACGGGGGAGTTCTGAAATGGCTTGTCTTGGAGGGTCCAGACCCCCTCCCTTGTATTACGAAATCTGGAGTAATCGTCGCCTTCGCCTTCTGCTACTGCTCCCCCGAAGCCCCTCTGCGCCCTTCGCCCACTTACTCCTGCTCCCCCTCCAGGACGTTCGCCATCCCCGCCCGCTGCGCGGCCCCGCCCCTTCCCCCCTCCAGGTCCACCTGACTACCTGCCAGACCACCCCAACCCAACCCGAAGACCCGCATTTCGGGTTGGGGGGGGGTACGGGTTCCATATGTGTTTTCTCGATGTTCCCCACCCCCCCCCACTGGAAATGGAGTGCAAATTGAGGCCTTCGGGTTGGGTTGGGGTGGTTTGGTGGGTGGTGACCACCCCCTAGCTCCCCGTGCGCCTCCCCAGTTGCCCCCTCGCGCGCTGCGCGGCGGCGACCGCCCCCCCCTCCCCCCGCGGCATGCAGGGCTCCCCCCGCGCTCCTCCTCCCTTCAACTCGCGAGGCAGCGGCCGTGACTCCAGACCGACTTCGGTCCGCGGCACCAGCAAGCCCGACGAGCAAGATCGCCCGCCTCGAATGGCGGGTAGAAGAGAACAATGAACGACAACCAACAAATACTTTGTTTTTGTTTGAGGATCCGCGCAGAAAACTAGTCCACCTGCCAAAACAACTGCGTCCATACCTGTCCGACACAGGCCCCCCTCCCTAGCCTGTCCCCCCACACCCCCCACCTACCACAACGCGGTGGCGGATATGCGCGGCAGCGTAACTGGATCCTTTCTTGACCTTCGAGCAGCTGGCCATCGCAAGGTCGTACTCTGGCGCCAACTCTGAGAAGCGTTCCCGGACCTCTTCCACCTGCTGGCCCTCTTGGAGCTTATGCTCGAGGAACCCCAGGAGATCTGGTTTCTCTTCCTTCAGGAGCTTCTTCAAATCCCTGCCTCGCTTCGCCAAAAAAGATCGAATACCGTTGATGTTCCAGCATATCGCCTTGAAAGACCCAGCACTTGAAGACTTCGGGCGTGACAGCCGTGGTTCTGGGATCGACTTCCCTTTGTACTGACTGTAGAGACCTTCGGCTTTCTTAACCCGCTTCAGCGATTTCTTCTCCAAATATATACCAGGGGATGCCGCTCGCTTCTGCCCCGGCATCAGAAGAATTGGCGGGTGTGTTTTTCACGGCGAGAGGAATTGACGAACAACAGCACATGCATCTGCGCTGGACCCGACTGGGGGAGTTGTTGCACTGCACATGTGGTCATGGTTGCACCCAGTGGTTGAGCCGAATGGCAAAGTATGGGCCTTCATTTTCCAGGCAAATGTATTGCAAGCAGGATGGAGGGGCTGGGCGGAGATGGAAAGGGGGGAATCTCTGGCAAGCGAAGATGCAGAAGAGCCCTTGGGAACAGCGCAGTCAATGTCAACTACAATGATGAGGAAGGCCTGAAGAGAAATCAGGCAACCCTGGCGTGTGTGAGGCGCTTGTCTGTTCGAATCATCGCCTCCGTCAATCGTCGTCTTCGTCGTCCCCTGCATCCTCCTCAACCCTTTCAGCGACAGAGAAACCTGATCGGACAAGAACGGGAAGCGCCGCTTTAGTCTAAAGGGCGCATTGTGCGAAGAAGAAAAAGCAAAGGAAGGCGAGGACGGCAATGTTTCAGAGGACCTCGTGAGCTGTGAAGGGCTCTTTTGGGCCCTCTTGGGGGCTTTTTGGGGGGCCGTTGGGAGCATTTTGGGAGCCTCTTGGAGGCTTCTTTGACCCTCTTGGACTGTCCGGGCGTGTCTCGAGGGTCTGTGGGGTCTCTCGTGGCCTGCCTGAGTGTTCTCTCTGACTGTCTTGGGGCTCTCTTGGCCAGTCTCGGGGCCTCTTCGGGCGCTCTGGGGGCCCTCTGGGCGCCTCTTGGGGGCCTCTTGCGGGTCTCTTGGGCCGCTTTGGGGGTTGCCTGGGGGGCCTTCGGAGGCTCTCCTGGGCCGTGTTGAGGCCTTCTGGGAGCGATTCCAAGATAATGCTGGTTCGGAGTCCCCTCAAGCTGATTTTTTGTGACGATGTGTTGAGCGAAACGGCCAATTTTCCGGAACCTGACCGGACAAAAACGGGAAGCGCCGTTTTTTATCCACCACGTGCGTCAGAGACCGTATTGGCGAGAACGTCAGAGAAACCCATAAACGCAACAGAACAGACTAAATGATGGCCTGCCGCGCTGGTCTGTCGAGATAGTCTGCTGCCCTGGCCACATCATGGTGTCGACACCGTGCTTTTCTCTCGGCAAACGCGGGCCCTCACCCGTTGTCGCCCAGCCTACTTGTTCTGTTCCAGCCTGTCTTGTCTTTTGTTTGTCCGTCGTCGTCGTCGCGTGCCTTTCCTTTGTCGTGGTCGTCGTTTTCATTATAATCGTCCGCTGTTGCCGTTCTCGCTGTCGCCGTCGTTATCATTTTATGATTGCGGTAATTTTTCTGATTGCTTTTTTGTTGTTGGATTCCGTGTTCGGTTGGTTTTTGTGTTATGTTTGTGGTCGTTTTCTGTCATCGCTTTTTGTCGTAATTTTCGAGATCGTCATTGACGAAGACGACGACGAAGACGACGACGACGACGACGACGACGACGACGACGACGACGACGACGACGACGACGACGACGACAACGACAACGACCAGGAGGACCCGTGCCGGCTGGCTCGGGGTGCCCGCGTCCCTCTGCTGCCGCAGGCCGCCGCCAGCGAGTTCCGAAGTGCGGGCCCGTACCCCTTAGTTAGAGAAAATGAAGCCCCAGAACCAACGGTGCACGCCGGAGGCGCTTCCCGTCATCCTCGAGTTCGTCTGGAGGCCGTCTCGAGGCCGTCCTGAGGACATCCTGGGCCGTCCTGGCGGCACCGTGGGTCGTCTTGGGGGCCGGGGGCTCTTGGGGGTCTCTTGGGGCGCTTTGGGGGTCCTCTGGGGGGCCTTCGGGGTTTCTCTTGGGCCGTTCGGAGGCCCTCCGCGAGCGTGCGGTCTGCCGTGCGAACGTGTGGACTGCCGTGCTCATTTGGGGTCTGCCTTGCTCCTTTGTGGTTTGCCGCGCTCCTGTGTGGTCTGCCGTGCTCCTGTGTGGTCAGCCGTGCTCCTGAGGCGTCTACGGTGCTCCTTTGGGGTCTGCCGTACTCATTTGGGGTCTGCCGTGCTCCTGTGGTCGGCCGTGCTCATTTGGGGTCTGCCGCGCGCCTGTGAGATCTGCCGTGCTCCTGTTGGGGAAACGCCAGCGGCGTTCGGGGTACAACAAAAAGGCGCGTTTATGTTGTACCCGCGCGCGGTCTGCCGTGCTCCTGTGGGTTCCGCCGTGCTCCTGTGGCGTCTGCCGTGCTCCTGTGGCGTCTGCCGGGCTCCTGTGTGGTCTGCCGTGCTCCTTTGTGGTCTGCCGTGCTCCTGTGGAGTCTGCCGTGCTCCTGTGTGGTCTGCCGTGCTCTTGTGGTCTGCCGTGCTCATTTGGGATTTGCCGTGCTCATGTGGGGTCTGCCGTACTCCTGTGTGGTCTGCCGTGCTCCGGTGGTCTGCCGTGCTCCTTTGGGGTCTGCCTTGCTACTGTGGGGTCTGCCGTGCTCCTGTGTGGTCTGCCGTGCTCCTGTGGTTTGCCTTGCTCCTGTGTGGTCTGCCGTGCTCCTTTTGGGTCTGCTCTGCCGTGCTCCTGTGGGGTCTGCCTCCCCAGCGAAATCCTCATGTTCGGCCGTATTGAGGGCACTCTGCGGGTCATCTTTGGGCCGATTCTGTTTTTGGGGGGCCGTACTGATGCCCTCAAAAACGATTCCAAGACGACGTTCGACTCATTGTTTGTTTGATGATTGTTCGGCCGTCTTGAGGGCACTCTTAGGGCATAGTCTGCCGTGCTCCTCGTCTTGGTCTGCCGTGCTCCTCGTCCTGGTCCTCCTTTCCGTCGTCTTGAGGGCGCTCTTGAGGCCTGGTCTGCCGTGCTCCTCGTCTTGGTCTGCCGTGCTCCTCTCGGTTTTGGGGCCTGGTCTGCCGTGCTCCTCGTCTTGGTCTGCCGTGCTCCTCTCGGTTTCAAGGACGTCTTAAACGATAGCCTCCAACACCTCGATTTTTGGAGGATGTCTCGAGCGAAATGGCCATTTTGGGGAATCCGCCAACGAAAAACCTGACCGGACAAGAACGGGAAGCGCCGTTTTTTATCCACCACGTGCGTCAGAGACCGCATTGGCGAGAACGTCAGAGAAACCCATGAACGCAACAGAACAGACTAAATGATGGCCTGCCGCGCTGGTCTGTCGAGGTAGTCTGCTGCCCTGGCCACATCATGGTGTCGACACCGTGCTTTTCTCTCGGCCACGCGGGCCCCCACCCGTTGTCGCCCAGCCTACTTTTTCTGTTCCAGCCTGTCTTGTCTTTTGTTTGTCCGTCGTCGTCGTCGCGTGCCTTTCCTTTGTCGTGGTCGTCGTTTTCATTATAATCGTCCGCTGTTGCCGTTCTCGCTGTCGCCGTCGTTATCATTTTATGAGTGGGGTCGTTTTTCTGATTGTTTTTGGTTGTTGGATTCCGTGTTCGGTTGGTTTTTGCGGTATGTTTGCGGTCGTTTTCTGTCATCGTTTTTGTCGTAATTTTCGAGGTCGTCATTGACGAAGACGACGACGACGACGACGACGACGACGACGACGACGACGACGACGACGACGACGACGAGCAGGAGGACCCGTGCCGGCTGGCTCGGGGCGCCCGCGCCCCTCTGCTGCCGCGGGCCGCCGCCAGCGAGTTCCGAAGTGCCGGCCCGTACCCCTTAGTAGAGAAAAGTGAGCCCCAGAACCAACGGCGCGCGCCGGAGGCGCTTCCCGTCATCCTCGAGTTCGTCTGGAGGCCGTCTCGAGGCCGTCCTGAGGACATCCTGGGCCGTCCTGGCGGCACCGTGGGTCGTCTTGGGGGCCGTCCTGGGGGCTCTTGGGGGTCTCTTGGGGCGCTTTGGGGGTCCTCTGGGGGGCCTTCGGGGTCTCTCTTGGGCCGTTTGGAGGCCCGCGAGCGATTCCAAGATAACGCTGTTTCGGAGTCCCCTCCGGAACCGATTTTTTGAGGATGCCCCGAGCGAAACGGACGGCTAAGATGGCTCCAAGAGGGCCCCAAGACGGCCCAAGAGGCCTCGAAGACGGTCTGCCGTGCTCCTGTGGTCTGCCGTGCTCTTTTGGGGTCTGCCGTGCTCCTGTGGAGTTTGCCGTGCGAACGTGTGGTCTGCCGTGCTCCTGTGTGGTCTGGCGTGCTCCTGTATGGTCTGCCGTGCTCTTGTGTGGTTTGCCGTGCTCCTGTGTGGTCTGCCGTGCTCCCGGGGGTCTGCCGTGTCCTGTGTGGTCTGCCGTGCTCCTGTGTGGTCTGCCGTGCTCCTGTGTGGTCTGCCGTGTTCCTTCTTGGTCTGCCGTGCTCATGTGCGGTCTGCCGTGCTCCTGTGCGGTCTGCCGTGCGAACGTGTGGACTGCCGTGCTCATTTGGGGTCTGCCTTGCTCCTTTGTGGTTTGCCGCGCTCCTGTGTGGTCTGCCGTGCTCCTGTGTGGTCAGCAGACCCAGGGCTGAGGGAAGGCTGGAGCAGTGCTCTGGTGGTCCATCACCCGCCCAGCTCCGTCCCCTCCCACTCTGGACCGATCTTGCGGGAAGCTGGCTTGTGGCAGCGCATCGCGCGTCCATAGCGTTCGTGTGCTTGCTTTTACCTCCTTTAATGTCTGCTCCACCTCTCCTTGAGACGCAGAAGCCTCCGAGCGCCGGGAGCAGAAATGATGCACTTTCGAAAAATCTGTTTGGATGAGTTTTGTTAGCGCGGCCTCGGAATTCAATTTTTCCGGCGACGGCCAGAGCCGACGCCAGCGCTGGATCCGGCTCGGCCGCCAGCCCAGGTGCCGGCCCGGGCGTTCGGTTCGAGCGCCGGCCTGGGTGCCGGAATCGGCCCGGAAGGGGTTCCAGGGCGCCGGGAGCAGAAAATCAATATTTTCGAAAGAAAAATATGTCTTGGAGTGGCCTTTTTTCGGCACCGCCTCGGAATTCAATTTTCCGGCGCCGGCCGGCGCCGGAACCGGCCCGGGCGCTGGCCCGGGTGCTGGCCCAGGCGTTTGGCTCGAGCGCCGGCCCGGGTGCCGGAAGCGGCCCGGAAGGGGTTCCCGGGCGCCGGGAGGAGAAAATCAATATTTTCGAAA